AGATTTGGCATAGCATCTTGATTAATATTACGTCGTAAACATGATAAAATATTTTGTTTCTTTTCATTTGAACAAAATTTCTATTTGAAATTTTTATTATAAAAAAAGAATTTTTTTTTCATAATTCTCTTTAAATAATACATACTTGAATAATAATTGCACATTTTGACATAAGACTATAATCATTTTCAGGTAAAATAACATCAAGTTTTTCACGTTTTCTTAATTTAGCATAACATGCTGTTGATACTTTATTTTGATTATCTTTTAGACAATCAAGAATCTAATAGATTTTTACATAAGATAAAATATAAAATTTGATTTTAGAAAAACAAATTACTTCAGCATTTCCCGGAGTACGTGCAGAGCAGAATCGTTGAATATCTTGTCGACATGTTTTAGCTAATGATGGATCAAAATCGATACTTTCACTCTAAATAAATTTCAGTTTTTTTTTTTCTTTTTGTTTTATTCATCATAAATCGAAAACAAACTCGTTGAAGAAGTTCAAATTTAAGTTCATCACGACAAACTTCAGTTATTTGATTTTCTTTTTTTAATACATCACGTAACATTAAATCAGCAAGACATTGAACAACACCTGCTCTAGAATACGAATAAAAATAAACAAAATAAATAATTTATTTTTAAATTAAAACAAAAAAATAATCATTTTTTTACTTTGTTTTTCTTCCTACACAATGTTCATTTATTTCTTGAATACATTTTTTTCGAAATTGTTGACTTAAAAATGCTTCATCTTTCATACTTGTCTATTAATTAAAGAAATAAATTATTCATTCTTTTGATTTTTTTTCTTTTACATACTATTTGATGATGATCAATATCAGCTTTACAACGAAAATCCATTTGTTGTTCATTTTTATGTTTAATTAAACAACGTATTAGATAATTTTCATTTCCATCTTCAACATTCTATAAAAGAATTTTATTTATATGCATGCACATAGAAATGATGAAGATTTTTTCCATTTTTATTTACTCCACAAAATAATTGTATCATTGGTTCACATGCTTTCATAAGAAGAAAATCAAGTGTTGGATCAGATATTGTCATTTGTGTAAAGTTTCGAACAGCAGCTTTACATTGTTCTTCAAGTTTATTATATTTCTTTTGTAAACATTTGAATTCCTAAAAAGAAAATTTTAATGATATAAAATATTTATTTTTCCTTCGAAGTCATAAGATTTCAATGTCGTTCGATAAGATTTAAAGCATACGAGAACATATCTTTATTCAAGATCTATCACTGACGATACCATTTTTGAATGAATGATTCTATGATATTATCATATTAATGACGAAGAGATTCTTGCGGAAATCCTATTTTGAACATATTAGAAGAATGTGTGCAAAGTAGAGATGTATATCATGACTAGAAATTTGCCGCTGCTGCGACGCCATCCTAGAAGGGGTAAGGCTTAGCGCCATTACTGCGATGCGGTAAACTGTATAAGAATTGCTGCTACTGCGATGATTTTCGAACAACTCTACGAAAATCTCTTCTGCCACTGTGTCAAATTAGCACAGTTGTATTGAATTCATCACACTCAATCTCGATTTTGACTATTAGACACTCAAATTGAGTGCAGATTCATCCAGTTTTACAATTGCAACAAAAAAAAGAAGCTGTTGCTGTCGTGCTGGTATTCTTGTAATATCTCCCATGCTGCGATGATTTCTAAAACACATGCTGCTGACACCGCTGTGGACATCTCTGATGCAAAGATCTTTCATAATCTAAATTCTTGGCGCGACATATTTGGTAACTAGAAGACAACTGGTTAGAGCCAGAGAATAAGAATTTTTCACTATTTCCGAATATATGTTTAGATTTTCTTTCTCGGACAAGATCGAATAACTATCAGTAAATTTCATGAGAAAGTCCAAAATTGTGTTTGTACAAGGCAAAATAGCAGTTTAGGCTCTATCGTCTTAAAACAGCTTTAACTCACTATTATTTTTGAGCATTGAATTCTATACAATAAGCGAAATTTCATCTATGCATTTTCACTAAAGAATTAGTTTCTATGGAAATTGCCACTGGT